ATCGATGGCACCATCGAACGGCCGGTGGGGAGGAAGCGAGGTGGCCCGGGACTTGCTGAAAACCAGCCGCAGATCATGGTACTCCCCCGGGACCCCAGTGATATCAGCTGCCTCAACCTGCAACACAGGAGACACAGACAAAGGAGGAGAAACTGCACCTAGACAACAAGCATGACAAGACTGACTCCAAGACAATATCTGACTGCGGGACCAATCCACATGAGGGTTGTGCTGAGCCAACCAGGGGTGCCCCAGAACAAGCCTAGCATATGGGGACTCCAGGAGGAACAGCACAACAGACTCACGGTGATTGCCCGACACAACAAGACTCACACGAGGGGTGGTGTGGGTGATAGTGGCTACAGGCTGGCCAGAGAGGCCCCAGACAGCGACAGGGGAGGAGAGGGGAATGGCAGGGATGCCCCAGCTCTTGGCCGTGCTACAGTCCAGAAAGCTGGCCTCGGCACCGGAATCAACCAGAGCCTTGCAGGAGTGGACCGAGTCTTGGTACATGACGGTAGCAGAGAGTTGGGTGCGTGACTGAGGGGAAATTAGAGGAGAAATGCCCACCAGGACTCCCTGTCTGACTAGTGGGCCTTGACTTTTACAGGACACAACCGAGCAAAGTGGCCCGACCTCCCACAGTAGAGGCATAGACCCTGGACCAGCCTCTGTTGTCTTTCTTGAGCCGACAATCGAAGCCGCCCCAACTGCATGGGCTCAGGTTCAGCCAGAGAGGAAAGAGGTGGTGAGTGGCTCTTCAAAGGCTGGGGTTCCTCCAGCCCCCAGGACGAGCGGGGAGCCAAGCGTCGCTGACGCAAGCGAAGGCGGCTCTCAACTCGAGTAGCCAGATTGATAAAGCCCTCCAGGTCTTGGGGTAGGTCGTGGGCAGCAATCTCATCCTGGATTTCGAAGTTCAACCCTTCCCGAAACATAGCTCGCAGCGCCCCCTCATTCCAGTCGCAGGAAGCAGCTAATGTTTTAAACTGAATGGCATATTCAGTCACGGAACGGCCTCCTTGACGGAGCCGCACTAGTGTGGATGCTGCCTCATCTCCCCTAACAGAGCGATCAAACAGCTTTGTCATCTCACCGCGAAACTCCGCAAAATCCGTGCAAAAGTGGGCTCTAGCGTCCCAAACGGCAGTCCCCCACTCGCGAGCCTTTCCCGTCAGCAGTGTAATGACATAGGCAACCTTTAACCGTTCTGTAGCATATCGGCGTGGTTGCAGCGCGAACACCAGTGAACACTGAGATAAGAATGCCCGACATGAATTCGGATCTCCATCGTATAAGGGCGGGTTGTTGGCAAATTAGAGGAGAAATGCCCACCAGGACTCCCCGTCTGACTAGTGGGCCTTGACTTTTACAGGACACAACCGAGCAAAGTGGCCCGACCTCCCACAGTAGAGGCATAGACCCTGGACCAGCCTCTGTTGTCTTTCTTGAGCCGACAATCGAAGCCGCCCCAACTGCATGGGCTCAGGTTCAGCCAGAGAGGAAAGAGGTGGTGAGTGGCTCTTCAAAGGCTGGGGTTCCTCCAGCCCCCAGGACGAGCGGGGAGCCAAGCGTCGCTGAGGTGCAGGTGAGAAGGGAGAATTAGCTAACAGGGATAACAAGAGGGGCAGGGTGAACACCAAGATGACAGCAGAGCACATGGCAAGCCATCAAAACAAAAGGCCATGTGCTCCATGATAACAAAGCCCAAGTAGACCCCACTGAAATCGTGACAATCTATCTATCTATCTATCTATCTATCAAATATAATAATATGTGTATGTATGTATATGTATATTCATGGTGTCTCAGAAACACTTCCAAATCCTGGATCCCTTGCTGTGCAAATGCAGTCTGCTGAAACATTAATAAGCCAATGTAATACTCCTGTGCTTCTGTCCTTGTGGGCAGACACAAAATGGCTGGAGGGTCTGAGTGCAAGAACACTCTGTGTTTACCCTGAACATCTGTTCACCGTGTATTTCATTACAGTTTTTCCCTGCTAGAGGACCCGCTTGAGCCCAACTACAATTTTACAACCTCTGTACTCGCACCCAGGCTCAATATATCCATGACGCACTGACTTGGGAACATTAGCTTGACAGCCAGAGGGTTATCAGCAGGGCACATCATTGTGAAAATCAGCATCCAATAAATCTGTCAGCTGACTCCTAGCGTGATTTTGATTGGAAATCCAGGGAAAGATGCCAGAATATCTTCCCCGGATTAATCAAGGCAGATTAAATCTGGGATAATCTAGTCTAAATAATCCTAAACAGCATGGATATTTCATCTGCTTACTCGTCTCAATCTGTGGCCAAAACACCAAAGAGTGTGTGGGAATGGTGAAATACGTAACTATTCTCCTCCTCACATCCAGTTTGACACATTGATCCAGGCTAATTAAGGCTTAGACATGATCCCATAGAAACAAGTCTCTCAGTTTGATTGAGCATAACATAATGAGCGCCAGCTCAGTGAAGACCTTCAGTTCTCGTCCCTAAACCATGGCACTTCTGGACTGGAATAATCATGAAGTGGAGTGTGCGTGCCCTTGATGCGCTGCTAAGATGTCTTCATTTCTACACCATCAGTCTAAAATCTTATTGCTGGGAGCACTCCGCTGACCCATGACGTATCGATTTCTCAGGTGCCCTGACAAGAGAGAGAGATAACCTGGACAGGTTGTCCTTGGACCTCAGAAGCCTCGTCGCCTGTGATCAGCGAGCATATACAATTCTCCGTTCTCTGCCATTCAGCTGGCCAGCCGATGTATAGTTTCTGTCAGCAGCTTGGAAGTACATCAATTGATGTACTGATGGGATGTGACAAGAAGGCAGCCTACTGTATATTTGTGTTGGGGGCTGAGCCCATGTCCCTCTCAGTTAAACTGATTTAAAGTTGATCCAAGCAAAGGACACTGGACATGTTAGGAGAGCTGTCCAGAAAAGGGATCATTTGTAGGGATATCTGGATATTTGGGATTATTTTTTTTGCACACGCAAAAGCGATCTACAGAAGATACAAAATTGAAGCTCCCATTGATGTGTGTGTGTGTACATATATTATTATTACATATATGTATATATATTAGAGATGTGGGATCTATATATCTATCTATACATACATATACACACACACATAGGTTTTTAATATAAAATAATATATATCAAAGATACTGATATATGTTGAGATGTTTTTATTTAAGGAGAAAGGAGAAAAATCTGCAACCATGTTAAAACCCAAAACATTTTTTTTCTGATGAGCTATCAAAACATTGCTTCATTTGCGAGCCAATGGTGTGCGTTTGGAGCAGGACTATTGCATATGATTATCCAACCAATGGCAGAAGGAGGTGTGTTTGGAAAGTCTGTTTGAAACATCAAGTCATTATTTTTGCAATTGCATTTAGTTGGTGGCACAAAAATGACAAACTTTACTCCATTAGGTCTCCTGAGCAATAAAGGAGCCACAGCTGAGCAATAAATTTCCCCATAAATCTTTTACAGTCCTGAGAATCCTTAGTTACTTATTCATCCACACACTTCACAAGGCAGTAGCAGCGGTTCATACATGAATCTCTCTCATGCGAGTCCACCTGTGTGACTAATGCAGATGTTCAATTCTGTTGAAAAGCCCTCACAGCAGAGGCACTCACCCACCTGAGTCTCATGAAGAGGATGAAGGCGACCAGCAGGGCTCCCAGAGAGATACAGTGTCCCAGGTAGTTTATGATGACTGCAATGTGGTAATGCAGCTTGCTCTTCTTCTGAAAGATCACAAAGGGACAGACACACATAGAAACACATTAGGAAGATGAGAGACTGATGTCCTGCAGATATCTGGCATCTAAATCCCAACATGGAATAACTCCTAAAAGCTTTTTGGGGCATTACAGGAAGAGAAAGAAAAAAAAAACTGCAGGAGAAAAAAAAAGTTCCAGAGGACTCTTGGGAACTCTATGAGAAAGAAAAAGAACTCTATAACGGTACAGCATATGATATTTTGATACCTGTTATTATCCTGCCAGTTTAATTTCAGAGAAAACATTAGTGTCAAAACCGTTGAAAAAAATCTAATGGCAGCTATTCAGGTGGCAGGTATTGAAAATAATCCTTAGTCAACAATCTTCAAAGCAGGATATATTTTCTTTAAACTATTCACATAAAACTGCCTTAATACGTCGTGTTGAATTTGTTATATTACAAATTTATATATAGTCCCTCATCATACTACTGATTGGATTGGACACCTTTAACATCCTTAAAACTTTCAATTTTCTAGATTATTACACTTATCTGGTGTTGCCAGATTAGATTTGAATGCCTCAGAGGACATTAATGATAAAATAAGCATTAAATAAATAACTTAACATCACACAGCAGCCAACACACGGACTCTCCCTTAACCTAATCACATTCTAAAAAAAAACAAGTCTCATCCGTAATCATTAGCCTTGCACATGAGGATCGCATTACACCGCTCTGCCTGACACTAATGCTAGCAGCATCCAACCAGCAACTGTTTCCAACTGTTGTGAATATTTCACTCTGTGATGAGTGAGGCAGATGTTCATGGTCTCCACTATCACGATGATTGCCAACCTGACATAATTCCTTTAATTAAGCGATTAGCTTTGGCTCAGTCAAACGGTTGCTTGCTTATAGCACAACAACTCACATAAAGCTGAAGTTTATGCCCATGTTTGAGCTAACATGTCAAAAGTCAAAGTCAAAGTCACTTTTATTGTCACATCACCACAGCACATGTGCCTTGGTGAGTGAAACTCTTGGGAGCGTGCTCCAGACAGTGCAGAAACAATTTACATATAAACATACAGACCTCAACAGATGACAATGTGCAATATGCACATACATATAGTCAGTACACACAGTGTACTATTAGACATACTTACAGTTAGCACTACACATTATACACAGTATGTACATGCAGTTAGCAATACACATTTATACACAGTATGTACACATTCTACATTATGTAGACATATATACACAAAATATGCGAAGGTGCAACAGATTATACATTAATTATAATAATACATTAATTGTTATACATATAACATGTCATGCTTGTGGAAAAAAATACATATTAATAGCCTTGCCAAATGATTCCATGAAGCATATGTTGATCACGTAACACTCAGGTTAGTGTGTGTGAGCATATAGGCATCATGTGCTCTTTCATTGCCAGCCCAGCACCTTTCCTTTCTCTAGCCCCTCACTGCATCCTCCTGGTGCAAAAATCTGTCGCTGAATTCCTGTGGTCGTCACAGGACGGGCTTGTGAGGCAAACCCCCTCTGGTCACTGCAGACCCCGTGGACCACTGAGACCAGAGGACCAGACTGTCCAAGCAGGGGGAGGAAAGGCAGTTCTGGAATCCAGTGCTTACAAATCCACAAGTCTCATGACACAAGCCAGCTAGCACGATTTAACCCAGCAGAAACCGCTCAGATGGCAAATCAATCAGAAACTGCAAGGACTGATGTGTTTATTGCTTTAGGGATGAGGTAATCCTTTAGGAGAGAATTTGGAGAAAAATTAATACATTTTTTTTGTTTTTGCTCAACATAACATAGCAGTCCCCATAAGAGATATTACAAAAAGAGGTTGACTTTTAAAGATTGATCTCTGCTCTCCCAGATACATGCATTAAGATGTCGCCAAGATGTCTGCCAAAGCGTGCATCATCTGCAAAGCACTATGATCAATTTTAGATGCCTTGTGTGTGTAAAAGCATCTGATAACAACTTCAAGGGTTAGTTTACACTAAAATGATTCTCAGTTATTCACTCACCCCCACACTGTTACAATACCTTCATATAAAAACACAAAAGAAGATATTTGTATCAATGTTTTTCTACTGTTTTTGTGAAACAATAAAATTCAGTAGGGTCCAAAACATCAGTGGACTCCATTAACTTACCTTTTTAAAATATCTTCTTTTGTGTGTTTGAGCGTGAGTAAATGATGACAACATTTTCATTTTTAGGTGAACTATCCCTTTAAAAATTTTGTGGATTCACACACACTACTGTTCAAGAGTTTGGGGGCAGTAAGATTTGTAAAATGTTGTTTCTCATCAAATTTCATGGTCACCAAAGCTACTATTTATTACACAAAGCTGCTATTTATTAAAAAAATAAAAATAAAAAAATAAAAATAAAAACAGAATGTTTTTTTTTTATTTCAAAATAAATGTTTTTGATAAAAATGTATTTTAAAATATAATTTATTTATCATTTATGATTGAGATATCAATTTAATATGTCGATTTGTTGATCAAGAAACATTTCTCGTTATTAATGTTTAGAACAGTCATAATGCTAAATATTTTTGTGGAAAACATGATAATTTATCATTTTTTTTCCAGAATTCTTTGATGAATACAAAGTTCAAAAGAGCAGCATTTGAAACAGAAATCTTTTGTAACATTCTGAATGGCTTTACTGTTACGTTTAATGCATTCTTTCTGAATAATGTATTAGTTTATTAAAAAAAATACAAATAAACAGCAGTGTAAATTCTGAATTTTAAAGGTCCCAAATATATCTACTGGATGATGTTTTGACAAAAATATTAGCCAAAAAATATCCAAATGAAACTGGACACTAAGGGGTGGGCAACATGACCAAAATCTTATATCACAATATGAGTAATTTTATTTCATGCAACAATATATATCACAATATATTTATTTTTGCTTTAAATAAGGTCTTAACATTTTTGATACCATAGAAATTTCATAATTCTTGTCGGCAGTGTCAATATCACAAACAACTTATACTTGCCTAAAACAACAACAACAGCAAAAAGTAATTATTAAAGTTATAAAAGTGATTTAGTCAAGAGCAGCGAGAGATTTTCTCTCTTTTGTTGTTTGATTAACATGAATGACAGACAACAGGAATATTAGACTGCTGTCACTTCTAAGAGCTGCCCGGATCCAATACACTGTTACACATGTGTTTTCTTTCTCAGCTGTTTGCTTTCACTTAAAACCTAAATTACTGTGTTTACGAAGATGCTTGCAAAGCATTTTGACACTTACAAGTGTGTGTATTTAACCGTTCAAGGCCTAAGCAGCAAAAAATAACTTAATACTCCCACACTCTACTCTTCACGTGCATGCGTCTCTTTGACAGCATGTTATGACCCAAAACCAATTTCAGCTCGTTAAATCTAATCAGAGAGGCAAGGACTGAACATATAAGAAAATCACAGACGACTGAATTAAGATTTGACGTCTATTTACATCATAAGATTTAATCCAAAGGCAAAACAAAAGAACAAACAACAATACAAATCCAGAAATATGCTATAATGAACAAAAGATTAACACAAGTAATAACAGTTAACAGGTAGGGCAGCTAGGGAAAACAGAAAACCTTGACTACACCTAACCACCTAGAGAGATCTTACCTAGCTACCAGGGAAAATAAAGTAGGTGAGTCTTGCGGGCTACTGCTTCCCTCGCTAGATCTAACTAAATAGCAAAAAGTGAACTAAGAAAAATAAATCCACTACCCGTTAGTGAAAAGACAAAAAAATATGTAAAATAGAAGTAGAATGAAAACTGGTTAATCAAATAGTCACGGAAAAAACAATTCAAAGTAAAAAATAACCAAAACAGGATCACTCCTTCAAGGAGAGGAGAGGAGAGGAGAGGAGATGAGCGATCTCAGCAAATGCCATCACCAGATGCCATCAATGCCATCAAAGTTTGTATAGTAGAAATCCCCGATGACCTCATTCCACTTTCAAGGATCGGGGAAATCCTCCTCACAACTCCACCTACAGGCTAAAATAAATAAATCACACACGTGACAATTTCTCTACGTGCAAACCCACACAACACAGCGCATATAGCAAAATTCGTTTTCTTTCGCTGATGATTGCATTTAAACAGCTTAAAATCGCTTGTTTTTAAACTGCAATGCTTAAAAACAAGTGCAAACTTTACGTTTTCGTGACCACATAGCACAGCAATGTCACGTGAGCGTGTAACCGCAAAAGAGACGATAGTCCAAAATCTCTACCGGTTGACAAATTTCAAACCGGTTAATCGTGTCTACCAGTATATCACCCACCCCTATAGGACACATATCAAAGATGTCAAAGATCCAGGAACTAGGCCCAACTCCTACCCCAAACTCTCTGCGTTGGTTGAGCCAATGGCATTACGTCTGGCCCAGTCAGGCTTCTCAAACTAAACCATTACAATTCTGTTCGGTGCTGCTCTGAAATTACACGCTCTACCTTTAAACGCTCCCTTCAACTGTCAGACTAAAGGATTCTAAGAACCCTCCACATTTTCTATGATTTGGGCATTAGCAGGGGTTCACACTCTCCCCTCTGATGCCACTTCTTTTAACTAAATCCTGAGAGAAGGGCTCTTCAAAGCAGCCTCTACTGATCCCTGCATTGTATCACGCTTGCCCTATTTTAAGAGGAGGCTCGGCACACCAACACATCCACGCTTACCAATACAGAGCAAAATGTTCCCCCTCGGGATGCTGCTCTCTCCTGGCTAGACTACGAGTCGTCTAAAGGCAGACGGATTCGCACCCGGAGAGCCTGTGGGAGTGCCTGCTTACGCATTCGGAATTTTGCTGTCAGTTTGTATTTTTACAATGCAAAGCCTCTTGTAGGCTTTCTGGAAATTTCTACTTCACTAGATACATGAAATGCTACATAAAAAGTGGGCCGTTCTCTGTGGATGCTAGCTGGAAGGGGGCTGACTACATTCTT